AGTATTTTGCTTATGCCAACTTGTTTTGATATTAGACTTTACTTTTGAATAGTCGTTGAAAGGGGTTTAACATTCCAATTTGATGGCTTCAAAGGTGACCTCACAAATAGTTGTCGCATTTCAGCAGAATCCTCGTACCTATTACCTTCATTTTTCTTTTTACAACAAGGGCTATTACCTAGTGCTTCACCAGCTAAGGGAAAAAGTCTATTACTTGTCTCAAATCACCAAAACCCATTGAAGGAAGTGAAATAGACACATAAATAAAACATCAAAGAGTCTCATCTGCTTGAATTTAGCAGAAGAGTTTCATTTCTTGGCTTGTTATGGTAAATGAAAACATAACAAAGTCCTGAAGACTATGCAAGTTTTAGGTTATCACATTCTTCACTGCACAAGCAAACACACTAGACATGAAAATGATTCCAGCACCTGTAAGCCATTCATGAACTCCTGAGCCCAGCCATCCAAATTCACCTGAGACATAGAAAACTGAAAGAAGCGATTTTTGTGAAAGGATTTACCTTGGTAACATTAGGATGATCAAGTTTATGCCACACTGCAACTTCCTGGGTAAAAGCCGCCCTTAAGGATGCAATCTCAGCTTCAGTCCTATGGCCTTCTTCACCCCAGTCAAGTAGCTTTACTGCGGTCGACAGTTGACAAAAATAAAAAATACTGTCAGTAAAATCACAACATAAGGAATAGATCTTAACTTGGTGAAAGACTCCAATATTGATTATTCTAATCACTATATATTAACATAAAAATATCTAAAAGAATCACAGTTTCCTGATGTAGGACTCACTAATAAATATTTTCCCAATTTTTTATTGATATGACATTAACCAACAGCTGGTTTCACATGAAAGTTCTCTTTTTTCCCTTTCTTTAAGAGAAATAAATAAACCATCATCATCCAAGTTTTTTTGAGTTGAACTGAAAAATTCAACCCAAAAACCCGTGTACGGGTCACGGATTCCATAAGAGTACATCTAATGATAGCTAATCAAGAACATCTTCAAGAAAAGTAAAATGCAGTGCAATATAAATACTTTAATTTAGGTAAAAGAATCTAAATCTATATATGCTTCAGTAATAAACAAATAAAAAAGAGGAATCCAAATTGCAAAGGAGAAAAAAAAGGTAGGGCAGGCATTGCATCCCTTGGCTCATTAAACAATGAAACAAAATGCTCTTGAACAATTACCAAGTAAACTCTCTCATTCTTTCTCTGTCGGCAGTAATATGGAACCAAACAACCTCAAGTTTTGCTGATAAGAACTGAGTCTTAACTTAATGATCCACAAAAATTTTAGCTTTTTTCAAAATTAAAGAAGGCATCCACTAAAATTTTTAAAAAATGGAAGCAAACCGTAAAATATGCAAACAAAAACGAGAAATGGGTATCCATGAACAAAAAGGAGGGGACTTTTATTTCAATTGAAAGATAAATAAAAGAACTGGTTATTTTTAAACTATTAAAAAAAAAAGAAAAGAAAAAAGAAGAACTAGCTCAGGTGGGTGACTGACCTGCAACATCTTGGCCATCGTAAACACCACGGTGGACGGTACCGAAGGTGCCGCGAGCAATGATACTCTTGATAATGAGCTTAGAGGGGTCGATCTCCCACTCCAGTCTCTGCCTCTGCTTACTTGATAGAGCTTTATTGGTGGTGACGGCGGTAGTGATGATTCCAGCCGAGGTGACGGTGGCGGCGGCTGCGGTGCCACCACCACCATCCTCTCTCTTCTTACTCTGCTCCGTTGTCCATGCTTTACTCATATGCCTCTCCAGTTGTTCGTCTAAGCTCTTGAGATCAATCTGATCTGCTCGCACAAACCCATCACTGCTTTCCTTCATTTTTCTCTCTAGCTGAGCTCCCCTAGTCTTCTTCCTCCTCTCTCTTCTTCTCTTCACTCTTTATCTATCCATACACAGAAGCAAATTCAAGGCAGAGATAGAGAGTCAAGTCAGCCCCTGCAGGAAATTTGGGTTTGTGGATTTTGATTTTCTTGTTCAACAAAACTGAAGGAGGAGCCTATTAACTCACTCATCCCACCAATGATGCATGTGGGCACATGGAATTGCCTGAATACAATGTGTGTTTCTGACCCACATTGGTCTCCTCTTCTTTTCCATTTTTGTTTTATATGCTTCTCATTTTTATACCACATTGATATTCGAGTCCCTAAACTTTATAAATATTATATTTTCCTCCCTTGGGACTTAATACTTTTTTCAATCTTATCCTTCATGAGTCAATCCCATGTGGCCTTCTGCAAATTGTTGTTATTTCTTATGAGAATTATTGTAGTTATTTAGCACATTTTAAGGAAGGAAATATAAAAACAAAAAACAAAGTCTCGTTGACTGGTAATCTCTACAAGTCGGCATGATATTTATATTATTTTTGTGTCTATTTGGGGAAGTATGTTGATTGATATTTTAGAAGATTACTTTCCTTAACTATATTTTATTTAGTGGGTTATAATTAAATTTAACTAGTAAACTCAATATTTAATATATTAATATTTTTGAAAATGGTGAAGTAAGCACTAAGGACACATCTTCCTACAATTTATTATTAGTTTAAGTGTTTAAAATTATATATAGATAATGTATAATTCAATTTAGTAAAAAATATATATAATATTTGAATCAATATTTAATTCTCATATAAATAATATAGAGAAAAATTTTTGAAGTTACTACTCAAGAAAATTAACGTGGATTTATATGCGACTCGTCATGATTTATTAGTGAAATGAGTTGGTGAATTTTTTTTAAAGAAGTAATTAAATAATATTATCAATTTAGTAATAAAAATTAAAAAAAAATTAAAAATTAAGAATTTAATCGAAACAAGTAAATTCATTATATAAATCTACAACAAAACTTTTCTATACATATTAATATTTTGCATTCTAATATCAAAATATATAATTTCAATTGTAAAAGTTTGGAACTTAAAAGAAAATAAAGTCATGAATTAAGTATGAAAGCGAAACAATAGAGTTTAGGGTTTACATTCCTTACACAATAATTTAGAATGTTTAATAGGGTTACGGGAATGTCCCTTCTAAAAAAACAAACGAAAATCAAAGAAATAAATAAAAAGTAAACAACTGAACATTTTAGGATGACTTTCATTAGTTTTTGAATGAGTCCAGGTGGTGAACTATCCACAACTCTCTTGTTAATCGAGATCTAGATTTTGATCCTCTTGATCTGAAATAGTTAATGAAAGAGTGAGCTACACTAATACGGTAAGAATATCACACTACTCACCGATACAGAAACTGAATGTTGGTAAAAATCATAAAAAAAACCAATAGAGCTCTTGATTTATCATAAGAAAAATCATTTACTGCATGTATTTACTATTAGGAGATTTCTAAAATGGATCTATAGAGATAATAACTTAAATAACCCTCAAATCTCATATTCAAATGAGCAAAAATAATAACTTTCTTTTTATTTGTCTACTGGTGTTCCTGAGAACCCATAGAGATGTCCCATTACGCGTGAACCAATATTCAACATTATCTGCTAATTGACCGTCCCCATACCCCGTCTGGTATGAGCACTAAAAATATCATCTTTAAATACCTCGTCCGGTATGAGAGTGAATCGGGTCGTCCTCATACCCCGTCCAGTATGAGCGCCAAAAATATAAATTCTCGATACTCCGTCCGGTATGAGGCAACGTTCACAGTAGGGTTCCTTATGTACCCAGTTCGTCCACCATCTTTCAGGATATCCAGTAAGGCTATCATTCATTAATTTACATGACCAATCAATTTTCCGTTTGCATATTAATTACCAATTTCACAATCAACCGTAAATCACGCAAGATAAGCAATATATATATCAAGAAAGCACAATTAAATCAATTAATCATTCCAGAATATCATCATATATTTAAAGTTGTAAATTTAACCATCAGTTAAACAAGACAACAAATAAATGACTAACCAATTTTTGACTCCATTGGTAACCTGTAATTATTCTCAAAATTTTTTAAATTACACAAAATACCATATTACAGATTATTAACCTTCAATTTCATAACAGAGAATAAGATGAGAGATTCTTACTTGAATCGGTATTTGTAATACTGAACTTTTAGCGGCACTTACTGGCAATCCCTAGGTTTCTTGAATTTTTATACAAAGATTAAAACACACTTTACATACCTAAAAATACCCCAGAAAATCCAAAATTAGTGTTAAAAATCTTTTCAGACCAATTTCGAAATTCCGACATGGTGGCACCACTGCCTGCGGCGGCGATTTGCCTCGACTTGGCTATTTTCAACCATTTTTGGCTGGTTTCGGCCAGTTTTGTACCCATCGTTACGAGAAAATACGTTAGGAGAACTCGGTTAGTCGAAAAAAGTCAAAATAAAAAAACTTATTGGTGGTAAAATTTTTCGATGCGGCGGCTCTGCCGGCTCACCTTCGCGACTGGGCATTTTTTTTTCAGTCAACTTGTAAAAAATAGAACAATGAACATAATGGTAGAAAAACTGCACGAAACTAGAAACATGAAGTGGCTCATCGGAGGTGGTTTCGAATTTTGCCCGTGGCAGCGCTGTCGGACTTTGTCTACGATTTTTGGCTCATCCACTCTTTATTTTGCTCCGATTTAACCATGGGGTTGTTCGGAATTAAATTTCGAGTGGATATGAGAATTTTTACTTTTTTTGGCAGTTGGAGGTGACTCCGGTGCGGCAGTGGGCGGCGGTCGACCCGTTCATTGCGATTTGATCTCGATCGTACAATCACTTTTAAAGAGAAAACGAATCTGAACCATTTATCGCGTTTAATCATGACCATCCGATCACGCTTGATGAGGGAACATATCCAGACCGTCCACGTGCGCGGGAATGCTTCTGAGTTGTCTGATCGTGGGTACACGGATTGCCAGCATGGCCTCCCGCGTGGCACCGAGTCAGCGTGCCTTGCCACGCGGAGCACTCTGGTTTGTGGGGACTACTGACTGGGTGATCTTACGTGACACGATTTTTCTTAATTGTATTTTGACCTCTAGTTTCTAATTTTTCTTTCAAAAACATCATTCGAACCTAAATTTTTATATTTTTTTTTTCAAAATTATTTTCAATTTCATCTTCAACTTATTTTTTTTTTTAATTTTACATTAAATAAAAAATTATTAATTTCAAAATTATATTTTAAAATTTTAAAATTAATTTTGTACCAAACTCCGGACTTGAGTATTACATCAATACTTTGTAAGCTCTAACTTGTCGTAATACATTTTATAATATCGACAAGTTCAAATTTTGACATTCTTATCATGATAATAAATTTAAAAATTATCATAAATAGTCCATATATATGACACTTAATCATGTCTAGTCATCACAAGATATAGTTGTATCTATTTTTTTTTTTTTTTTTTTTTTAATTTTGAGTACCAAAGTCTACCAATCTCAAAACTACATGTAATTAATTTTACTAGGATTTCAAACTACAGCGGGTTTACAAATTATTTACGTATAAGTGACTCATAATTCGTATATAGTTATATTATTGTAAATTATATCTTTTATTAAATTAAATATATATATATCAATAAAAAAAAGTAAATATATTTAAAGAAAATTAATATTGAAACAATAAAATCTTAAATTTTGGGTATTATGAAGTTACAATTAATTAAATCTTAAAAAAAAAAAAAAAAAAAATTACCAATTGTATATCAATGAACAAGTAGAATTGCAGATTACCAGCATTTGTGTTGTTTTGTTTGGAGTTAATTTGTATTGAAACAATTTAACAAGGGATTTTGTGATATTTGAGAAAATCATTGGGATGCCAGTGAAATTTCATAAAATTAGAGGGGGTATTTTATAATATTGAGAAATAACTAACAAATAATTTACAGTCAGTTGTCCTTTCTGACTTTGAATTATGTTACCATCTTCATATCTCTTCCATTCTTCTTCATTTGGATTAACAACATCTCTTTTTTTAGACGGTCACAACTTTTTATTTTACTTCAAAATTTTAAAAAATATTTTATCTACAGGAATTTTAAATGCTTAATTAAACTATTAACCCTTTTTATAATTTAGTTAATTTTTTTTTATCGAACTTAAATTCATGATCTCGAAAAAAAAATAAAAAATGTGAAAAACTAGTAACAATCTAACCAAGATGTAATTGGTGCAAATCAAGATTTTTATGATTTGGGTAACTTTTTTTTTTTTATTTAATTCGAGCAAAATATAATATTTATTATGTGACGAAATATGGATTATACGTAAGTAGTCAAGTAACTACTATATGTTTTTGCCTTCGTGAAGTAT